ACATAGTTAATGGCACTTGTTCACTAACAAAGAAATAATTCTTAGGCAGTTACTATGAAAATAACTTCTGAAAATGGACATGTCCAGAGGAAAAACACAAACCAAACTCCTTCCACAATAAGGGATGTAGTCATAATAAGTGGTCTGAGTGCAGGAGAACTGTCATTTAAAACATAATTCAGTTCCTACTCTGGGAGTTTAAGTAAACTTGGTGTTAATAAAGAGACTCGAGTTGGCTTATGGTTACCTTCTTTACATGAGCAAATTTGCGCATGTTGGCAGCCTAGTCAAGTGCCTTACAGAATCATCCAAGTGAAGGAAAATGCCTACGTTTGTAACAAAGCCCCAACCTAGGTGGTTTTGTTACAAAAGATTTTATTGATATGCCAGCCACAGGAAGGTGGAAAAACTACACACTGCTAAATACCTGAACAGATCTGACATTCCCTCCGGCAAGGACAGTGCTGCCCACAAGTGCAAGCCAGTACAACCTGTCTGAGAATATTGCACATCCCTTACAGGTCTGATATTTTGAAGTGTAACTATGTAACAACATTGCCCCTTTAAAAAAAAAAAAAAGACGAGAGCGGTGTTGATGCTTGTTCACACAAAAGGATCACATGGTGGTAAGAAGCAGGAAGGGAGGAAGTCTGTATGAGAGTCAGAAGGTGGTGTAATCAAATAAATAGACTCAGATTACAAGGCCAGAAGGGATAACTGTGATTATCTAGTCCGATCTGCTGCCTAAACTGGCCACAGAACTTCCCCAAAATAATTCCTTTAATAAAATCCAATCTTGATTTAAAAATCATCAGTGATGGTGACTCCACAACATGTTCCAATGGTTAATTACTCTCTGTTAAAAAATGTATGTGTAGTGTTGTAGCCAAGCAGAGAAGGTAAGATTTAGGGGGAAGTGGTTATGGGCAATGCTCAGAAGGTTTGGTGGTTTGGTTTGAACTAACATCTATAGGTTCAACCTTGGGTCTGTATAATTGATCTAAAAGGTATTACAAATATAGGCATTCTTGTGAGATTTCTGGCATGTGCTTGTTTTCATTTGAGGAAAACACCACAAGAGCCTTATTTGTGGTGTTCGAATGGCCGGGAAAGATTCTTCAGTGTGTTATAACATACTGGCATGCTCGTGGGAAGGTGGAACAGGGTGGAATGTCAAACCTGCTCAAGTGCTCATCACTGTTTCTGTCTAGAACCAAGAAGCAGTGTATCAAAATGAAAAGTATTTGTGACAAATCTGAACATTTCAACTGTGCAAAAATGTTTGAATGTTGGGGACATCAGATGTTTGGGTCAGACAGAGAAAGCAGGGTGAAAGTTTGGTGATGGAGAGGCAGACAGAAAGGGTGACCAGGAGGTTGAATGATGGCCTTGACATGATAAATAGGAGAGAATCCGGTAGCTGAGAAATAGACTGAAGGAAAGAAAAGGCACAACTCATCAGTTCAAAAGAAAAAAAATCCATCTATAATCTGCCCACAATGCAGCATTGCAGAAGAATCCGGCTCCAGAAATTCCACCTAGAGTGAGAGTCCCTTTTTAAAATGTTTATTTTTTCATACCATAAAACGTATAATTATCAAAACATGTTTTTATTGCATTCAGAATAATTTTCTAAAGAAAACCAACTGGCTACCCCCACCCCACCCGAATTTCTACAATGGTTGGAATCATATTTGGAATCAATATTAGTGTTTATATAAAAATGTTTCTAAAGTAATTAAGAACCCAAATCATCTTCAGAGTCTTTCATTCCTACTTTCAATATTTACACATGTGGCTTCATATTCATAATATTTCCAGTCTCTGATGGACATAAGGCAGTGTAACTGGTAAGCGTGCCAAATCAGATGTGTTCCTTTACAGGACTGCTCAAAAGCTTCCTAGACAACAGTGTCAACCTCTCTCACAGCCCCCAGCTGTGACTGGGGCTCTCAGAAGAATAATACAGGTCACTGAAGAAATAGATGCACTTCTCTATCCTCTTTCCTCTCCTCTCCCGTTCTACATTTCCCCCCCTGTAATCTAATTTCAGGATGAATTAAAAACAGCTGTGGCAAAAATCCCACAAATGATAATGTCTGTGAAAATGTGTTCATTGCCAAACTCCAAGAAGTACAGTTCCAGTTCTCTAATTTCATCCCCTCAAATAAAGAGTTTGCTTTTAGCATTTATAACTGCCCTTCTCCAAGAGAGGACAGTCATATAAACAAAGGCACATGAGCTCTGAGAGATAACTACAAATAAAAAGACTGGCTAATTTTATGTCCAGTTATACCACTAGTGCAGAAGTTATCCATGCTAACGTAGTGGTAATTGAAGCTCATGCATAAGTTGATCCCTCCAATAATCAGAAAGGAATTTTTCCATGTGTAAAAGAATGAAGAAGTGGCTAGATTCATTATGGATTTTGAAAACCCTTGCTAGAGGCAGAATGTTCATCCAGGATGGTACCTTCTCTGTTTTCCAGGTTTTTATGGAACAAAGTTTCAAAGCTGGATACTTGAGATTTGTGAGCAAAAATGCACATCCAACTGTGTCTCTACATTCTTGTACCTGGATACATAAGTAAGTAGCCATTTGCAGGACCAGTTATTGCATTTGCATGTATACTCATGATAATTGAGCATGCAAATACAGAGGGCATAGGTCAAAAGAAACATATGACTCTTACTATTCTCAAAGACATTAGGGATATCCTACTACCAGAGCTACATAGGGAATACATCTCAACCTGTTAAAAGAAAAGGAGTACTTGTGGCACCTTAGAGACTAACTAAGTTATTTGAGCATAAGCTTTCGTGAGCTACAGCTCACTTCATCAGATGCATCCGATGAAGTGAGCTGTAGCTCATGAAAGCTTATGCTCAAATAAATTGGTTAGTCTCTAAGGTGCCACAAGGACTCCTTTTCTATCTGGAAACTGTTTCTTGTTAATCAAGTATGCTAAGCATTCCAGTCAGATGCTAGGACCATCCAGATGACCAAAAGCATGCACAGTGGAGGTCTGAGTACACTAAGGTCTGAATCTAGAAGGTCTAATTAGGTTTATTTCAAATAGGTTTTTGCAGTGCTTGCACTATCTATTTATTGACAATAAGTGAACAATGGAGCAACATTCAGCATTGCACCTTCTTCAGAATAAGTTCATGTTAGAGTCACACAGTAGGGGTGAGATCCAGGCCCTACCAAAATCAAAAGCAAAACTCTCATTGACTTCAGTAGGGTCTGGATTTCACACCAGGAGTTTAAGTTTTGGCTAATTGATGTTGGATAATCAAGTGAATTTTACATTACTAACGTGATCAGAAGTTTGGAGCCAATATTGTTAAGTATTAGGTAAGTCAAGATATTTCTTCTAGGCAAAACTACAGGAGCTTTTATTCTAAAGAGAAACCATCCAGGTCCACAGGCCCAAAACTGAACCTAACCTAAAAATAACATTTACAAAAAAACCAAAAACCCTGTGTCTTGGAAAATCAGCTCAGCAACTCCAAAACACAGGGTTATAATCTACATGAAATCACAGCTTCTCAGAAGGGTGATCCAGCAACAGCAAACCCATGCAGAGCAGGATCCTTGTACATTTCACTTCTCTCTCTGCTTACAGGAGCCAACCAGGCAGGGAGGAGGGCTGACACGATATGCATGCACTTCAAAACCAAACTAAAGCCGGTGGGTCTAATTTTAGGCCTATCAGCCTCGACAGTGTCTCTTCCCTTTGTTCCATGTCATATTCCGTGGAGCTACAGCTATGTGGCTTGACTGACACAAATTAACCTTCCTGCTCTCCTCAGTCCTGGTGTAGTGTAAGTGCCTCACAGTTGGAAAACAGCCCATGAAGCAGCAGGCAGGCTTATTTACTGAGGACTCAAGTTGTTGTCAGTTAGTGCAGCACATGTCTAGACTGAAGGAAGATTTCAGTGACCCAAAGAAAACCCCCCGGAGTAGCACAATTTTTGACTGAAGCAGAAGTGAAAGTCAAAGGGACAATAATTCTCTCTGCATGGTGATGCTAGAGCTGTGCAGAAATGACCAATTCTTTGAATTGTGCTCTGTGAAAAACATGAGCCAAATCCAGAGTAATTTACTCAGTTTTTTACCCTGCTGTTTCTGAGACATAGCTCCCATTGAGAGGCCTCTCCATCTGGCCCTGTGAGGTGTGAAAATTTGACCGAATGCATGACTGGCTTTAATTTAGATTTTTACCAGTGAAATTCTTGCTAACCCATGTAATCTGGGAATTTTTACAATTTTTAGCATAATACAAGACTTTCCACATTATAGTCCACCAGTGTAAACAGCTCTTTGTTCTGCCAAGAAGAGAAGTTAGAGATGCTTATTTTATTGTTTTGAAAACTGCATTTCACCACCAGGTATAGTTGAAAACCTTTAGAATGGCAGACAATGGCAAAATATAATAGGTGAATGCAAGGGACCATCGCAAAACATCCTAATAAAATGTTCAAAACAGATTTCAACCCTAGGGAGGAACAGAAGAATGAGAGAGAGACACACAGACACATATTTCTCTTCAGCCACCACCTTCCTCCCATTCTCTGTGGAAGTCAGTCCTGTAGAGCTCAGTCCTGCAGCCAGACAAATCTCCTACTGAGGTCAGTAAGAGTTTTACCAAAGTAAGGACTAGAACAGGACCAGGCCCTTGCCTCCACCGAACTAGCTATACAGAACAGTGAATCCACTTCTCCATGCTTTATGGGTTTGGTCCAGTTTATAAAGGAAGTAAATAATCATGGCTGGAACAATGCTAGTATCATGGTTCTACCACGCCTGCTCCATACCCTCCAAATTAGCTCTAGAAATGGCGAGGTACATAACAGTATTCCCAAGGCACCCATATTATTTAAATAATTACATTATTAGTGCTACCATCCAATTTTTATTATTTACTTATTTTACATAATTATATTAATTACAAATACATTTTATTAGTATTACCATCATAAGTAAGGTTCACTTACCACATTGCTGCATGTTCTGTATCTAATATTTCGCCCTTCACAGCTCCTGTGTCCAAAAAGAAAAATACCCCCACGCATTAATAACTTAATACCACAACAATACTTAGTGTTTACTGTATATTGCAACTTTTCATCCATAGATCTCAAAGCACTTTTTACAAAAGAGAGTAAGGATCATAATGCCTATTTGACAGATGGGGAAACTGAGGCATAACTGTTTCTTGAATGCAATTGCTTATTTGTTACTCCTAACATTGATATTCCTAGCATTAGTTTCTTTTCCCCATTCCTTCCCTAAAAAACTCTCTCCTGATGTAGAGTGGGTTTCCTGAAGAAGTGCATCAACTACGTAAACAAAGTAAAGAAATGCAGCATCAGAAACTGAGCTTGAAGCCTATCCCTGAATTTCATCAGTAATTTTTCACACCTCCCAAGAATGCATAAATGTCCTTGCAGCAGCGTGTATCTGGCTGCATAACTATACTTCAGCCCCACTTCAGCCCAAATCCTAACACTGACGCATAGCCCTGGCAGCCAGACTGCATGAGGGGGTATTCCTCATGGGCTAGGAGGAAAGGAATCCTTTCACTAAGCCACAGGGCAGCAGTAGAACCGTACAACCTCCTCAGTGCTTGCCTCACATCTTACCTGGGAGGGCAAGAGGATCACTGTGTAAAAACAGATCCCCCAGCCCCACTCTACTCCCAAATCTGTGCTACAGAGCCACTGGGCCCTATGGAGCTTAGGGACTCCGCACCCCTTATATGGACTTTGCTAAATCTTTGTTTTTCCTCCCACACAGCAGAACCACACTAGCAGGGCCTTGTGTGTGTGTGCAGAAGACAGCTCCAGATCCGGATGTCTTTTCAGAAGTGTGGCTCCAGAACACACATCCCAGCTCACTGACCTCAAGGGGAGTTTCATAGGCTGCAGGAGTTCAGAATTGGAGCTCTGAAAATAAGGGATTTTTTGGGTTCTGGAAAAATCAAAATATTTAATTTCAACAAAATCAAAATGTTTCACTTTGATTTTTCCCCTCATTTTCAAATGTTTTGAATTTTTAAAATAAACTTAAAGGACATTTTGAAACAAAAATAATTTGAAACCAGCAAAGTCATTATGTTTTGTTTAAGAAAATGTTGAAACAAAGCATTTTGATATTGGGAGAATTTGTAAAAGGTATTTTCTGACCAAAACAATTGAGTGAAACAGACACAAATTTGCAAAATAGTTCAATTATGTTGAATCTGCATTTTTGCCCAAAAAAACGTTTGGGTTGAAAAATTTCACGGAGCTCTATTCAAAATATTCAGCAGAGGTTCTCAGTGAAAAACAGAATGGAGAACTTGGCCCTTACATTGTTCTTCATCTACACCAGAACGGAATTCCCTTCATTTTTAATTTCTCAGATTGAGCAAAGCATGCATTCCTTGAGGATTACACGCCTGCCAAGTCAAAAGTTTTAAACCCAAACCATTTTTGAATTATCCAAGTGCCAGGACAGTATCTGCCTGATTTTGAGGGTTTTTTTTTAATTATTAAATGATTGAAAAACTTTTTCCATTCTGAGTTAACTCTAAAGTCACCACATAGGTTTTCTTCAACCTACTCAAACAAACCAGAAAACTCACAAGGCTTAATGCTCTGCTGCCTTGCACTATGTGTAGCCATTTACACTTAAGTGAGTAGAAAATGCTACCAGATCAGAATGGGAGCTTTACACTGTATAAATAACTGCCCCAGGTGCTAAGGAATGGAGAAAAAATACCCATTCAGTCTTCTGGGATGAGAATGAGCGTGAGAAATTTCAGCCCAAAGGTAATAAGTTCTCAAGTAATTAATATGTAGGAAAACGCTGTGTGAACCATAACCGTAGCACTGCTGGTGCAATGCTTTCATGGTGCAAGAAAATTAATTCAGAGAAAAGTCTGACCATTTCGATATACAAGTTAAGGACCTAGTTCTCCTCGTAGGGCTTGTCTACACATAAAAAGCTATCCTGCTTTAAATATACATTAAATTTATATAACAGTATATTTAAAGCAGTACAACTTGCCAGGTCTGAGCACAGTGTATTAGTATAAAAGTACTTATACAGGTTTAGCTTATTCTGGTTTGGGAAGCAAAATAAGCCATATGGGAATATCTTTCTACTGGCAGATCTGTGTCCACACTAGCGCTCATTCTGATATATTAGTAAAAAACCACAACTCTAACTGACCTATACTGGTAATTTTTTTTTCTAGTATAGGGCCATATACTAGTTAAACTGCACTATCAATAAAAGTGAGGGAAGAATGAGTCAGAAGACTCCCTTACTTGGTTTACAAGGCAGATTTTAGAACTTTTGCTCCGTGTAAAGTCACTTTTTTTTCCTACTCCAGTCACACCCCTTTCTGAAAGCATAAATGACGAGCATATAAGGCAGCGTATAGGCAAACTCAGTGCAGGCTTTGCAGCAAAAACTCTCATCAATCATATCAGAGCAACTCATTTGGCAGGCCTGATACATACCTCATTCATTAATGCCATGCAAACCATCAAAAATCTCTACCTCACACAGACCTGCTGTTATTGCAGCTTCAATTACTATAATTTATAAACCTCAGAACTGATGAACAACCATGGAAATGTAAACTTCTTTGACAGAAGCCTTCCCAAGGTTGGATCTCTGTTTTTTCGTATTGTCTGATCTAAAAATCAAGACTAACACTCATATTCATTCCCTGTATTTGGTGGAAAAACAAAGTACTGTACTTTGATTAGCCAACTGCCCCACCCCCAGCCATTTTTTCCTTCCACTTTCACTCCTTTGGCTGGCAGCTGTGCTTGTTCTGAACAAGTGTGCAGATCTGCATGGAACTAGAGCCACTATGACTCAGGAAAACTAGGAGTCGGTCTTGCAAAATCCTAATTATCCACTTGCTCAGAGTATGTAATTTTTCTTCTGTGTGACTACAGCACCTTTCTTCATTATCACCACTCATCATGATCAAGAGCAGGCAGGTAGATTTTTGTCTGGGCTGGTGCTTTTTCCTGGCACCTTTGCAAGGCTGCTAAGATTACTGAGCTATACAGGACAAAGTACCAGATAATCTTAAAAAATGAGAGAGACCTCTGTAGTCATTAAAATTTTATTCAAAATGGTGTGGGCTTAGGGAACCTCAAACCTGAAAAAGACAATGCTAGTAACCTCTGTACTTTAAACACGAAGTTATGTCTCGGAATATCTCAGCATTTAAAATAGGGCACCATGAGTATTTAATTTAGTTTGATAGAAACTGTTTGCACAACACTAACATTTATATAATTTCCTCAACTGTTTTTCACCCTGTCTAGATGCTGTGCTGCACTGTGGCTGCTTTGCAGTACACCCAAACCCAAAACTGCTTGAAAGCTGGCATGGTGGGATTGGAAGCATCCTCCTAGACTAGGAGGAAACCTCTGGGGGCACAGAACCTATGTAGCAGTGTCTTGACTCTCCTGCCATTCCCTTAGCCCCTGCTGACAAAGAGGTGTGGCTGAGAAATCCTTATGCTCCAATGACTATTAGCATAAATATTACACTGAGAGTCTAGCCCCATATCCGGAAAGTGCAAAGGCTACTGTTACACCTCTCCTCTTGAACTGCACTGTGCGCTCCTTGGCCAGACCTGACTATCTAAGACAATACATGCAGCAGAAGGCTGCCCTCTGTTGATGGATGTTGAAAGAGGTTGTACATTCCTCTGAAGTCTTTGAGACCTCCAAATCATTGTATTTTTTCAGAAAAGTGTCCAAAAGAACTGTATGTGCTGCAAAAACACCTTATCGCCAGGAAGAGCTAAATGCAGAGTTGTGGTCTAATCCTGCTCCCATGGATGGTAAAAGCATTATTAACCGCTGTGGTGCAAGATCAGACCCTTACTTCCATCAAAATAGGATTTATTATGGGTAACTGCAGCTATCTCCTGAAACTTGGTGAACATTCTAGTATTTCTAATCATACCCTTTTGTTCTCTGAGAAGGCATGTTTGAGAGCAATGATGATCCACAAAGTGTGCATCTGTACAACTGGGGCTGCTATCAGTAGGAACCAGACAGCAAATGTAAAAAATCAGGACGGGGGTGGTGGGTAATAGGAGATTATAAAAGAAAAAGACCCCAGAATCAGGACTGTCCCTATAAAATCAGGACATCTGGTCACCCTCGCTATCAGGCACAAGTTGTAGTGGATTTTACAAAGGAGGGGGCATGTTGGAGGGTGTGGCTTGATATGCAAATCAATTTGCAGGTTGTATTAATACGCAAATATGGAGGAAAAAACCCAGGCTGCTTGGATTTGAACAAGCAGACTTTTAAAGGAATACTAACAACTTCAAATTTGTTAAAATATCCACCCCTATTTAAAGTAAACAATGCCAAAGCTTTCTTACCATATTTTCTTAGAACATTTTCCCACAAAAAAAAGAAACCTCACTTTTTCTTTTTCTCTACAGATTCCTGTCTGCATGGGGGCTTGGTTCAAAGTCCCCTAATGTTCACAATGGAGGTGGATATGGTGCTCCTTGTGCTTAGCTGGATTTAGAAACCTTTCAGTGGGTCATGTAGTACAACAGCCCTTCTTCCAGTGCTGCAGCGGGCCCCTTTTCCTTGTATCTAGCAAGGGTGACACTAAGATTCGCCGGGACGGTATGACACCAGAGCCTATGGAAGTGTCCCTTCCCCCAGAGTTGCCAACATTTGAAATGTTTTTTTCCAGAAACAAATTGCCACATATGCTGGGGGTCTGGGCCACTAAGCTCCAGTCAGTGATGGAAATATTAATTTTATTTTTATATGACTATCCAGCACTGGGGTCTGAAAATGGATTTTGTTTTTAGATTGTTCTCATTCTCCTTTATTTGCATACACCTCCCCCCACCTTCCTTACCCCTTGCCCGTGTTGCCTAGGGAGATGTCTGGTAAGGTCCTATGTCCTCTGGGATTTCAGGGAAGTTTGAGCAGGCTACCTCCTTCCTTACCCCTGGAGGGGTAGATGTTAGGCATGCCCTTTGCACCACATAT